GTAGGCATGGCACGATTGATGCAATGAATAAGAGGCAGATACAAGCAATGTTTTTTTTGTACGTCCCAGCTCCATATTGTGGTAAACCTTGCATGCAGTGCAGGTACCAAGCTTGTATGTCTCTTACGAACTCAAAATGTTTCTTTTCGGGCTTTATGTTCCAATACGAAATAGAAATGTTACTTTACTTTCAAAGATTCCCAGAGTTTTTTGCTTTTTAGATAAGCAGCTCGAAGTAGCGTTTCATGATTTTAAATCAAAAGTATACGTATCGAGAGTGTTAACACTTTGAAAATAAAGTCATACGTCACGTTTTAATGAATACCCTACGGATCAAATGAATAAATTGAGAATATTTGAAAAACCTTTTTCGACCTGGTATAATTTGCTGAGTGTTTACGTGATAAAAGACGCGTTTTTCGTATTTAATGGTATCGATGTTTACTCGGTGAAGATTCATTTTGATTTCAATGAATTATTGAGCAACTTGAAAATATATGTGACATGTTGGTCTTCACTTAATTTAGTATACGTTTATTTTAGCCTTGGCGGCTATTTTGATACACCGCGCTGTCATTTTAAAAACCGTTTTGTTTATTTTGAAGATCGATTAATTCATTTATGCACAGTGGTTCTCGATTTTTGAAACATTTCTATTGATTCAATTTTATAAACCGCAAATGCAGAAGCACCGGTTACATTATAAGATTTAATCCAACATATGCGGCATAGTTTTAGAAAGCTCCGAGTGATTTTACAGGTGAATACATTTTTCGACCAGCAGCCATGATCAATTTAATGGATTTTTGTCAAATGCCTCCATCATCACATATTGGGATGTTTGTTTCAATAACATCGATACATCCATAAAAAAAAATCATCGTGCCGATTTGCCATATTTTTGCATCATAATACAGTCAATTAGTATACTCATCCTCTTGATTCCCTCGGAATCGATCAAACGTACTTAAAACTCAATCTTAACTGAATTTGAATAATGCGATGCAAAATGTAGATATAGTTAAAAAACGCTCTTCGAACTTGTTATGTATCTGCATGAAAAATCACAAAATTTTCAATTAGTATATTGTCAGTCCAAAAGTATCTTTCGACGGGTCGTTTCATTAGCAACGAAAGTAAGAGAAACCTCACGTACACGTGCCGAGGCACAATATACCAGATGATTATATGTGTTTAGTTGCAAGCGCATATAGGTACCTCACACATGAAACAATAATCATCGATTATCGCTAATCGGTTTGTGTTTCAGAACAGCCAGCCCCACTGGATTTGGATACACACACACACGGACGAATATAAAAGTTGGAGCAAAGCGTATTATATATATATATATACACGTACACGCATCATATACTTATTACATCCCAGAGCGCGAATTATTTATTGCGCATAGACAATGGCCCATCTCCCCCTACGCTGCGCCCCTTTTACTATACTTTCCCTCCCCCTCTTTTCTGGCCCTTCCTGCGGCTCCCCCTCTTGGCCGCCGCTTACAATCAAATTAGCCGCCTCGTTCTCACCCGCGCTCGAGCGGAGAATCCGTACGGGCCGGGCAATTAAAATATTTCTCGTGCAGGTTTAGGATAATAGAAATCGTCGGCACGCACGGGGAAGCAACTCGTTCGGCCAGCTCTGGGTAGGTAATATATGCGCACCTCTTCCCATGTAGGAGGGAAAAACGCGGATAGTTTTTCACGATCGGCACGCGCGTATACTTACCTGCTTGGCGTGTGTGATACAATGGACGTGTATGCGTGTACGGCTGGCGATTACTTTTGTAAATATGGATGAGGGCCGGCGAGTCATTTTTCTTGGTGAGAAATTTATTCAATTTATTCGGCCCCGAGCCGAGTGATTCCGCTCGATTGAAACGTTGCGCTTCGCGTGTGCTCGGGGATCCCTTGCCCCCGGTGGCTTCATCTTTTGCTTATTTTTCATTTCACCTTGTTAGACACCCATTTTTCCATTTGCTCGGGGATCGAGATGAAAGACCGAGAAAAAAGTGAAATGAAAACAAAAAAAATGCGAGGCGAATCTCGGGAATTGGTTGACTAGAAGGATGGTTACGTTGATTCGGGGAATTTGGATGTAGTAAATGACAAGACAATGGTGCTTATTTTTAAATTAATATATAATTTTTAATCGTGTGTATCTTTCGGAGGGTCGGAGACTAAGAGTGTACAATATACATTACAAGCGATAGGAATACGATTTTTTTCTTCTTTTTTTTTTTTTTCAAGGGGTCATGAATTTATTTTCGGGGGTACAAGTGAGGGTGACAACGTGCGAGCGATTATTATTGCTTATTTTTGTTTTGCCTTAGTACACACTATACAAACAATATTCATCGCAAGATAATCATCATTGAATTTCGCATTTTGGTTTCACAACGACGAGCAAGTAAGTTGAAGGAATCAATCGATTGTTTGCGATTCCTCTCTGTGAGATACTCGTCAGTCTCGACGTATTCACATGGTTTTTGTATTTGTTGACCGCAGTTGCTTTATTGCCGGTTGCGATGTCTAGGCATCCGCTTGAACAATCAATAAACTGCCGTGGACTCGAATATTTTTATGATACAAAAGTCACAAGTTTACAAATTTAATTAAAATAATCAAAGCCATACGATAGACTGCACCTATACAATACTTCAACTTTACACATTTCAATTTTTAGAGTTGCAACTCCAGTTATCTTTCAATAGTATCACAAATTGTACTTTTTTTTCCAAAGTAAAACAAATTTTGTAAGTGGCAAGAAAATCGAAGCCTCAAATAAAAAAAAAAGCAGTTTCAAGATTCGGCGAAAAAAATCAGACTTACCAATAAAATGCTATTTGTAACAAGTAAATTTGTACGAAACTGAATTGTAAGAGGAATATCGGATAAATGAAAGGAAGAAATCTTAAACGAGCATTCAAGGGTTCATAACTTTATTATTCTTCTCTGGGCAATTTATCCCATTTTATTTTTATAATTTATATAATATCGTACACGCGTATCATACAGGTGCAACTATCAGACTAGCCTATTTCACTACAAAGACTTAATTTTCCTTTTCACTTGGCTTACAGGCATGTGTACTTTTACTTTTTTCTTTATCGATTTCTTTGCTCATACACGCGACTCGTTTTTGCAAAAGAGAAGATCTCCATGAATTTCTTTAACAAATTGAACAATATGATTATAATCGAACGGCGCAGTGATACATACGACGAAGGTACATAGTTCTGTTTTGCAAGACAGCCTCATTTTGGACGTCTTATTGCGAAACTGTATTTTGTTTTGTTGTGTGACCAGCGTTAGAAACTCGACAGATGATTTTTTTTTAATGAACAGTGTCACAATGTTGACTGAAAAAAAATACTCAATCACTCTAGCAAAATCCGACTGCGATGACAATACTATACTCTTATGATTCCTCGCAAATAATTGAACATAGTTTATTCACTCGCATTCGGTAAAGCGCAACCATGTGCGCTTGTCTATTTTTTTTTTTTTTTTCTGCCGTTCCACACTAGCTCACTCACACTCAATGTACTCGCTCATCAAATTATCTACATGAAACTTCTACGCTTTATACATGATTTATTTTTCTTCAAGTCACTTATAGAGTCACGCGTTTTTTTCGCTCTGTAGATATTTTTTCCTAACTACTATTGGATAATCGAATCACAAAAATCACCCCCCTCCCCCCGAAATTTTTACTCTATAAATTTTCTTTTCTTTTTTTTTTTATTCTATTGATAAAAATTTCTCGCTACATGCGTCTACAGCGCGAAATTTTGCATAATCACCACTCTGCTCGGTTTTTCTTCAATTGTATAAATACAACCTCAGTGACTGAGGCCATTTTATTGCGTTATGCGAAGAAAAAAGCGAATGAGAGATTAAAAAAAAAAAAAAAGAAAGAAAGAAAAAAGACGCTTACGCTTTATTGACGATTTCGCGCGCAATCGAGATTCATCGAAGATTCGTAAACTTTTCAATTTACGATATTAATAGTTATTCGATACTAGACAGTAGCTTAATAAATTTATTAACTTTGTTTTTTAAATGTTTAAAATTGTTTTTTTTTTCTTTTTCATTGTTTATTAATTAATTAATTTATTTCTTTATATTCAGATATAATATAATATCACTAGGGTACATATGTACAGGGACTTGAAAGTAGTAGAGATGCGTTTATATTGCAATTATCATTTAATAATAATTATAAGAATGATAATGATTATAATAATAATAATAAAATTTTCTTATACACTTTGTCGTGGTCGAGGGTGAAAGTCACATGCTCGTAACTCGTTCCAACAAAATCCCACGTTAAAACCCACAGCAACATCTGTGTCCCATTGTTGTCACGCACTTGAAATTTGGTGGGACCGGTGCGTGAAAAATGGTCAATTCATTCGAACAAGTTACGTATATAATGTACACATCGCGCGTCCTCGAGTATACCCGTGGATTATTGCGATTTCACGAGTTAACCGCGGAAGATGCTCTCAGAACATATAGATACCTCATAACCAACCTCACAGTTCACGCTTTCGCCAATAGCCTTTGTCACACCCACTCTTTTTGTCTATTTTTGATCAATTTTACCGGTAGCACAAACTCGTACGGAGAAACTCGGATGTTTGTACTCTTTCGATTGATGGAGGAAAAGAAAAAATTATCGCACAATTTCACAGTAAAACGCGCGCGACGGCCCGTGTGTGTCTGCTTGTCTTCATTGAAGCATCGAAAATTGTAAGACATAAAGTTTGATTGGACAAGAGAGGCGGGGGAGGGAGAAGATAGGTGGCAGTGGGTCACGATAACAACAACGACATAAAATATCCTCAAAACAAAACGAAAAA